GGGGGGGGGGTCGGGTAGCCACGCGGCGGGGGTCCGGGGGTGAAACCCCTACCCCGGTTTGGGCCCTGGGGATCCCCGCGTGACAACGCTGGCCACCCCTACAGACCGGACAGGACCGGTTCGGGTGTGGGCTATGGAAGCACCGCGTCCAATTTTCGCAGCCACAGTTGCTGCATCGAATGGCACGGCGCAGACAGATGTCACGCGCTACGTGGCTCATACATGCTAGGAACACAGAGGCATGTCGACCGCAATTATAGAGGCATTGCCGTTCCATCCCCTGTCTACAAATTGGACATGACATTTCGGAGTGCCGTACATGAGTACAGTACTGACTGTCATCGTACGTATGGAAGCAAGAACTCGCATGGACTATCCGTGTGTGTGTGTGTGTGTTATAGATTTTCCCCACAACAACCCCAATTCCACCCAGATAAATAGATTCAGAATGAAAGCAGTCTTTGTCCTATTGCAGACAATGAGAGCATTTGAGATGAGACAGTCCAACATATTAAAGCAATTTTACAAGTACACAGCTTATTGGTTGTCCTTGGGGCACCCCTTCCATTTGATCTTGCAGCTCCCCTTTTACTATGCCTCTTACGTACAAGGCTGCCCATGTTGATTGCGGTTGAGCGGCAGCTGCCCACATCCCCGTGTGCCTTCACAGCCCACTTGCACGTTATTTCAGGAGGCAGAGTAAAAGGGAAGCTATGCTCCTGTGCATTTCTCTTCAGGCCTTCATACTCCTGTTCATTTCACTTCAGATCTTCAGCTTATACTTAGTCTTTGTGTCCGTCCTTCATCTTCATACTTCCGTTCATTTCATTTCTGATCTTCATATTGTCTGTTCTCTTAACGATGCTCATTCGTATGTATTTGTTAGTAGCACAAAGGGAATGGAGGGGAACACGTTGGGTTGAGGAGCAGTTAATGCCTATGGCAAGTGGCCACCCCTACAGACCGGACAGGACCAGTTCGGGTGTGGACTATGGAAGCATCGCATCCAATTCTTGCAGTCACTGTTGCTGCATCGAATGGCACGGCGCAGACAGATGTCACAGGCTACGTGCCTCCTACATGCTAGGAACACAGAGGCACTTTGACCACAATTATAGAGGCATTGCCGTTCCAGCCCGTCTACAAATTGGACACGACATGTCAGGGTGCCGTACATGAGTACAGTACTGACTGCCGTCGTACATATGGAAGCAAAAACTTGCATGGACTATCCCTTCATAATCCTCACGGCACAAGGCATGCGAACCACATGCTAGTTGAATCTCCGGCGGGTCATCACAAAGCGGCATGGAGCGTCCTTCTTGGCGTCCTCAGTATTTATTCCTTCTCTATGGGCAGATGACGACAGGGAGGATCGGTCCAAAGCAAGGGCGTTCAGCTGCTGCAGGATTTGGTCCGGAACAACTTGCCCTGGTGTTGATAAACTACGAGCACATCGCTCTGCCGGTGGTTCATATAGAAGTCTATTTTCCTCCCAGACTGCTGTGTCTGCCGTTCGTCTGGCAAGAAAGACGGAGATCCATCAGCGGTTGTCGTAGGTGTATGACCAACACCGCATGTGTGTGTGTGTTTGTGTGTGTGTGTGTTTCAAAGAACCGCAAACTCTCTCTCTCTCTCTCTCATCCCACCCATGCATCATCACAGATCATCCATAAACAAAAAAGGTATATATAGGCAATAATAATACATGGTCCAAGTTTGCCTACGTTTGTGTGGTTAAACGCCAAGTGCCCACACACCCGTCTGCCGCCGAAGTGGCACACTCGCACAAATATATTATAATCTACAAGAGAATGGAGGGCATAAGGCAATACCAAACAAAGACAATTACACAGGACAGAGACAGTTAGTTGCACCACAACCCCAAAGTTCCCCCCAACAAGAAAGCACTCACCGTGCCCTCAACCCCTAGGGCTCGGTCTGAAAAAACATAAGAGAGCCCTCTGAGTCAGTGCACAAAACCACCAGAAATCAGACAAACAGTGCCATGAACCTCCCCTGGCTTCACAAACTGCAGAATCAAATGAACTCACAATGAAGCCGCTGTGCAAACTATGCCAAATCCACAAGATCTCCATGCGATGCCAGGAGTGATACTGCTTAAAACACCCTAGAAGTCCCCATTTCCTCCCTATGCTCCAAGAGAGAGAGAGAGAGAGAGAGAGAGAGAGAGAGAGAGAGAGAGAGAGAGAGAGAGAGAGAGAGAGAGAGAGAGAGAGAGAGA